GGGCGCTGCTGCTCCCGCCCCTGCGGAGCTCCGGCACGGCCCCCACGGAGACCCCCGTTGCATCACACAAGGACGGGGATGAGGGTCCAGCCCTGCCCGGGGTCCCTGCTTGGGTCATGCAGGGATGGGGATGAGGGTCCAGGTCCAGCCCCGCTGGGGGTCCCCAGTTGCATCACATGGGGACAGGGATGGGGGTCCCAGCCCTGCCCGGGGTCTCTGGTTGCATCACATGGGGACAGGGATGGGGGTCCAGCCCTCACACTGTGGGTCACAGGGATGGGAACATGGGTCCAGACCCCCTCGGTCTCCCCCAGAGCCCCCCCCACCCCCACCATGCAGCCCCAGGGAGAGTCACGGGGGTCCTTCACCTTCCAGGTTTGGCATCCCGATGGCTGTCCCCTGGGCCGGGTGCTGTGGGGTGCCGGCATGCTGGCAGCCCCTCGTCGTGCAGAGCCCTGCACAGGCAGGGTGGGGTGCTGGGGGCCACCCTCCCCTGGGGACAAGGAGTGGGTGGACCTGGGGACGATGCTGGATCCGGCACAGGGACACAGCCTGTGACATGGGTCCCATCGTCCAGCCCAAACAGCAGGGAAACCACAAGGGCAGGGACAAGCCGTGGGACAAGGCCGGTGGCGCTGGTCACGCTGCCCCCCCGGCTGCCCCACGTCCTCGCAGCGGGGAGGGAACAGGTCTGTGCTGCGCCCCAGGGCAGGGCTCACATCCAGCCTGGTGAAGGGCAGGTGAAAGCGGTTTTCCTATCAGTGGAGCAGGCGGAGGAGATTTAAAGGACGGCTGAGCCCTCCCTGGAAGCCCCTGGGGACCCTCCGAAGCCCAGCAGCAGAGCCCCTCCAGACTCCCACCTCCCTTCCAGCACGGCCCTGCCTTCCTTCCGCCGCGGCTGGCGAAAGCGCCGGGAGGCCGGTGCTGGCCCTGCCCCGCAGTGGGGCGCCTGGTTTATACCCTAGAACTGCTGCCGGCTGAACGCATCAGAAAATGCATTTATTTTGCAAAAATGGGATGTTTCCCCCAAAACCGTTCCGGTGGGCTCAGAGCAGCTACAGCGACTCAGACGGATGAGGAGTTGCATCTGTCGCTCTAGCGAAGCGCGCGGTGTCCAGTTATTTCAAGTGAAAAATAACCCGTTAGCGGAGCAGCCCATGGTAATGTTTCGCTGTTTGGGGGGAAGCCGAGCCCTTGGGCGCCTTTCTCAGCATGAGCTGACACCGGGCTCTTTCCGGGGCCTCTCCACCCTGTGCCTTTGCTTATAAGCAGATTATAACACTTTTGTGAGTCTGCTCAATGCGTACAGGTGGAAAGCTAAGAATAATGCACTTGAGATTTAAAGAGTGGAGCCTGGCTGGGTTTTGGCCAGATGTGCCTGGTCCAAGACTCCCTGATGCTGGAGGGTCCCCGGGCGAGGTGTGGCTCCGCCTGCAGGGTCCCAAAGCCCTGTTAGGGAAGGGGAGGTGAGCGGGGGGATGGTGTTTGAGGGTGAGTTGACCCCTCTGAGCATCACAGCGGTGTGAGGGCCGTGCACGGGGAGTGGGTCCTTCCATCCCTGCAGCTCTTCCTGAGCTGGAGAGCGGCCCCGAGCCCGTGAGAGCTCTCCCGGGTGCACCAGAGAGGTGTGGGTGTCTGCACCCCATCTGGGCACCGGGGTGGTCACAGCGGCACTGGTTTGTACTGGGAAGCAGGTGCTGGGGCGATGCCGCGCTGCGACGGGCTGCATCTCCCCTGCAAACCCGCCGTCGGGCTCAGCACCGGCTGCCCTCCTGCCCTCCAGCGCCGCCGTGTCGGGGGGCCGCGGCCCGGCACCCCACCGCCGGC